GGGGGACTGATATCAGTATTTCCTGTGGTTAACTGAACTCTGAAAAGTCTAAAAGTCTTAAAATGTCTTTAAAGCTAAGAAAACACACCAGTTAAAATTTTAAGTTGACAAATTTTTCTAGTGTTTTAACTGAAAACAGTGTCTGATAGTAGTAATTTTCATGCCTGAGTTTCTTCCTATCCAATGAGAAAACATTGCTCAAGCCTGTTATCCATAAAACCCAGAGGTGTGGAAAACGAAAAGCACACACAGCTACATATATGATTTGATGTTGACACAAGGTTTAGAGTACATGACGTTGTTGGTATATGAACACATCTTGACACAAAGCTGAATAAGGAGCAGAAACTAAACAAGAAAATATTTAAACATATATCCCCTCGATCCCTGACATCCTATTCTCACAGTAACCCTTTAAATAAATGTCTCATTATTAAGCAAGAACTTTATTTCACAAAAAATCAACAATACTTCCAAATATAGTAAGAGGAATCTGGAATTTGATGTGGATTTTTTTTTTAAATTAAAAATCTATTACAAGATGAATTTTAGTTTCATAGTTTTGACCACTATTTTTGTAACAATTACTGTACTATAACATTTTGCAGAGATATAATTTTGTTTGCACCTGTGAATGATGTGAAAAAACAAGGGAAAGACGAAATTTAGGTTAAAGTTTGTTGTAGGTCAGGATTACACTGAAAAAAAGGGATTGGCCAGCTCTTGGATTTACGTAAGCATCTTGCGTGTATTTAACACAATTGCCTCATGCTTTAAAGTTAGGTGTAACTATATAGTGTAGAAACTACATGATATACAGAGAGGGTAGATTAAATTGTTCATATCATGTTCAAGTGAAGTAAGTCAATAATATAGCAATGTTAAATCCCGCGACACTGCATGGGTTTCAGTCTCGCACTCTTTTTTGGTATACCAAAAAAAGTAAATTGGGTGGTTGTTACATTAAAAAAGTCTACCTTGTAATTTGAACACAATAATTTCATGTTTCTATGAACGTAATTAAATCATGTAGGATTTGCATGGAATTCAAAAACCTAATTTGTTCTTGTTGAGATGACAGGATACAATCTAGTAAGAGTGGTTAGTTGCTGAACTCATGAAATTCAACAAGATTGCACAAGATTTCAAACTGCAGGAAAATCAGTGGAGTTATAAGAGGCAGAGAACTACACACACACCACGTGCATGCTATTGCTATTTATTGTGGATTAACCTGTCAAGGATAAAAACAAAAAAATTCTGCATCAAACACAGGAAATCATAGCTTTCCTGTGTTTTCTAGATTGTTGGCATGATGGTTAGTGCTGTTGCTTCACAGTAAAAAGGTCCTGGGTTCAAATCCACATTCTGGCTAGTTTGCAGTGGTTTCTCTCTGGGTATTCTGGTTTCCTCCCACAGTTAAAAGTCATGCAGCTATTAGAGCTAGGTTAATTGATGTTTCTAAATTATCCATGAATGTAAGTGTAAATGGTTGTTTGTTTCTATGTGATAGACTGGTGAGCTGTCCAGGGTGTACCCTGCCTCGTAACCTATCACTTCAGGGTTATTTCCCAGCTCTCCTGCAACCCAGAGGATGGTAGTCATTGTAAATCCATTCAATTTTTACTTTGTTGAACATTATGTAATATGAAGACAACATGTAGTATTTAAGTGACCAAGTAGTATTGGGGTAAAAGTTATTGAATAGTGTTGAAATAAAATGACAAAATTGTGAAGGATTAAAATATTCCAAGAGCTCAACTTACTTCATCTGAACATGTTTCAATCGCGTTTTAGAAACACAAAATGCACAGGTTTATTGAATATGAAAAAGTTGTGTTGATTTAACTCAGTTGTTTAAGTTTCTGCCAAAGCAAAACATTTGTGTGCAACAAATGTCCACTATTGAATCAAGTAAATCCAACATGGCCTTTTTTTCAGTGTAGGCACCAACTGGTCAGGAAAACACGTCTTTTCATATCGACCGGTGATTGCCAGCGGCTTCCAAACATTCTCTAGGCGTGTGTGAATGGGGCTTTAAACCCTTTTAAAGATTGTATTCCTTTAGAGAAATGAGTTTGAATGGCACCTGTGGTGGCTAGAAGTAGAGAAAAAGTGAAAGTTAAAAAAAAAAATTCAGTCTGAACACTGAGCTTTTGAGATATTTCTCCAAAAGTTGATTCTGTTCATCTGGACGTAGTGTTTTGTGAGAGAAACATTTCGTCACCCAAGTGACTTCTTCAGTCTCAGCTGACTGCAGGTTTCCCCAATCTTATAAACAGTACATTTGCATAATGATTGAAACCAGCCCACTGAAGGAACAATGGGCTGGGAGGTCAGTTCCTTAATCTTAATTATGCAAATTAAGATTAAGATCAGCAACCACTGACCAAAATCCACTGATCAAAGACCACTGATCAATGGCCATGAGTACCATTCACAGAGAGTTGGGGAATGGCTGCAATCACAGCACTGTAAGATGGCGAAAGCTGTACCCTTAAGCCCCCTCCTCGATTCAGAGATGGTCTTTCCCTCTTCACATAAATGGCTTCCTTGACTCTGCGCTCAAACCAGCGTTCCTGGGTTAAGATTGGGGAAACCTGCTGTCAGCTGAGACTGAAGAAGTTACTTGGATGGGTGACGAAACGTTTCTCCCACAAAACGCTACGTCCAGGTGAACAGATTCAACTTTTGGAGATTTACTTACCTGGATGATTGCATCAAGACGTTTTGAGATATTTGTTCATTCACTGACCTCATTATCTAAAACATATATGTATTTAATATATGCATCCACAATTGTAACAAAAGCAAAGGAAAGGCAGAATGGGTACATTTAGAGCAAATCCACAGGAAATTAATGTAACTTACTGCAAGAGTTAAACACATGACTGTGTGTGTGCGTGTGTGTATATATATTTAATACTCATTGTGTAGGAACAAAAGCATGTTTACAATCACATTTTGGGGCCCCTACCAGAGACCATATTTTGTCCCCATCACCTGTGTGTTGATGTTATGCTGATGTATGTTTTTAATCCATATTTGCTTTTATTACTTTTTTGTAGTGATATGCATTTTTAGTGTTTTATGTGTATTCTTCATTACATGTGTGTATATAATTATAGGTACATATGTTTTTCTATATATTTTGTAGTCAGGGCCTGTACATGGTTGGCTCTAATACTGCACACTGTGGTCATGCCTCAGTAGATGTATGTAGTAACAACTAGCTAAAACTCAAAAACGAAAGTGGCTTGTCCCATCCTTTGTGACTGCCAATTGTCAAATTAGTTTCTTGTCTTACATCTTGAGAAATTCTGTAGTGAATAGAAATATAATTTCTGACAATTATGGCCAAAACCATCAAATTTATCCACAAAAAATGTTAACCTCCTAACATCCACCAGGTGAACCAAATGAGGAAAAGGTTATAATTAAGTTTAAGCCACATGCTAAACAAGAATAGTTTCATAAACTAGAAAATGTTGCTTTTCAAATCAGTTCTTTTACATGCATGTTGGTCTAACAGTTTTAAGATTTTCAATTGGTTACAATTCAATATAAAAAGTAGACATGAACCTAATACTAACCGCAAACTTGTCACTGGTAATCTAACAGATGTTGAGAGGTTAAAGTAAACTTTGTGCTTCAATTCCAGATCCACAATTACTTTGTAAAAGTAGTTACCATTACCTAAAACTGCGTTTTCACACATTTTAATTTTCAAATGCTCACAGGCGTGACAGCGAAGAGACAGTTAGCAGGAACAACTACTCTTGATATATAACTTAATTTATCCATAAGGGCTCTGTCTTTCCAAAGAGGTAGGGCTTTATAATTGGCAACCGCAGATTCTCAGTTGTTTTGTTTTCTTCTGTTCCTTTTGGCAATGCAGGGACAAATCTTCGCCCATCTGAACAATGACATTCGTTTTTTCTGGTGGTCCTCAGTAAATGCATAGCAGCATCAGTAGCAGCAACCGCAGAAAAGGCAGAGAGAGTATTTATGTCTGCTTGTTGTCGCTGTTCACTGCGAAGTTTTGATTGGCCTGATCATTTATGCGACTGGTTATGTATCGATCCTCTTGCCCCTTCTGCTCTCTCTGGGGTGCATGTTGTCACAGCAGCATCTCATCAAGAGGCATGTCATGGTAAGGAAGCATCGAAGCTGAAAGACAGGAAAGAAACAAAAAACGTGCTGTCATTTGTGTGTGTGTGTGTGTGTGTGTGTGTGTAGCTTCTGGGTTCAGAATGCAGAAATCTGTCAACTCCAGGTAAAGATGAAGGTTGATTTATTCATCCATTAGGCACTTCAACATTAAATATTAACCAAGTCCCATCACTCAGTTGATGCATTAAAGCAGTGACCTCTCACACACACACACAATTTGCCTTTTCCAACACTATCCATTGCCCAAGATGGCTTCTTATGTCAGCACTTCAACTACCAAAGGTGTTACCTACTCCATGTTTTTCCAAATTTTCATAACCTGAAGATGATTTACATTCTCTGTTCTCTCTGAATTTATTGGGTTTTCACATATTACCGACTGAATAACTTAAAAGGGGTTGCCAAATTTGATCATTTCTGGATTTGATACTGGACTTTTTTTTCCCGTTATGTACCCTTGTAGATAATAATTTACAAATCCAGTATTTCAACTGAACTTCAGACTAATTCTGTCTTAATAGCAATGCTTTCCTGTGAAATCGTCTTGCTTGTTCTCACTCTTGTTATATTTGGTAACACTTGCATATCATTTCACTTAAGTAAAGTAATATGTTCTTATCAAATATAAATATTATCCTGGTATGTGTAAGTCATCATTTGTGATGACTTATTTCTACCCTTATTCCAACCCTAGGCTATTAGAATTATATCAGTAGTTTTATTTATTTTTATTTATTTATTTTTAATTTTTATTTATTTAAGAATTATTTATCCAAGCACAATCAAAGGACAAGAAAATCAGTCATTCACACAGCCTGAGAGCAGGGAAAGGTGGAGCTAATTTGACTGTAAATGAGAACTGCCTCCATCAACTCGTAAACTGAGCTAAACTTTTTTTTCTTTAATCGTTTGATTTTATCATTTGTTAGTTAATTACTAAACACCTGTTTACCAAATGTATATGTTCGGATTATATTTTATGTTACATTTTGAATGACAAAGTAAGGGAAGCAATGTTTACGTCAAGTCTGGTGTTGCTTCGCAAATGATCTGATAAATGATTATCAGAAATTGAACACTGGTATTGGCACTGTAGTATTGGGGGATCTGTACTACAGATCCCCCAATATCTGTAGTACAGTGTTCCAACACATTGGAACTGGAAAACATTCCAGTTCCAATGTGTACTGGAACTGGAAAACATCAGACTGGTACATAGTTACTTGCAAACCTGTTCATTTGATATAATGACAGTTAAGATAACTGAAATAAATAAATAAAGATCACAAAACTTTTTCTGCATTAAGGTCAATTGTGATAAAGTCTTAGCACTCAAAAGGATTTTGCACACCGGACTTTTATGTTAAAAACAGCTCCACCACATAGTGATTTAACTATATCTTCTAAATATGAAATAATATAAAATAATATAAAAAGTTCAGATATAATATATAAAAGATAAGAATTCCAGGGACTCACCTGTCCCAAAGTTTAACACTCCTACATGAGTTGGTGCAGCAGCCAGCAGATATCAGAGCTGTAAAAATAAACCAGCAGAAATCATCAGAAACTGGATACTCTTAGTTAAGATTAGTAATTGTTGTACACACATAAACACACAGTGAAAAAATGTATCTTCTCACACTGAATTGCCTCAATGATGAGTGTTTTCCCTTGATGTCAACCCTCCTTCGTTCTCTTTTCAATTTTGAATACATACAGGTAAGAGTCACGCTATGCTTCCACAGTCAGCAATAAATTACTCAGTGATATAATGACCGCAAAAACTGGTTCTCACCCCTGTCTTGAGTTGTGACTAATTGTGTTTCTGTTACTCAAATACGTGCCAGTCAGTCAGGAACAGAGCCAGCCATGCCAAATATTGTCACTGTCTACCACACACATAATTACACTGAGGAGGAGGAAAAAGGAAAAACTATTGACCAAATCACTCGTGAATCTTATGTTGTTGTCATAGAGGGAAGTTGTCCGAGACAAAGAAGTCAGCTCTGTCTGAAGAGGTTAAAAGAAGACTTCCTAGACCTCAAACAAAACATTGCGCTCATTGATATATAAATGCCAGGGAATTTTCATTTACATTAGTTACTTGTAGCTTTAGTTACATACAAGGAAGGTTGCCGGTTCGAGCCCCGGCTCCGACAGTCTCGGTCGTTGTGTCCTTGGGCAAGACACTTCACCCGTTGCCTACTGGTGGTGGTCAGAGAGCCCGGTGGCGCCAGTGTCCGGCAGCCTTGCCTCAGCCCCAGGGCGGCTGTGGCTACACTGTAGCTTACCATCACCAGTGTGTGAATGGGTGGATGATTGTGTATAGTGTAAAGCGCTTTGGGGTCCTTAGGACCAAGTAAAGCGCTATACAAATACAGACCATTTACCAAATGATGGACACTAAATGTAAACCTGCCATTACATTTAAAAAGAGATATATTATCAGAAACTGATACTGTAAAGATACTGTAGTTCAAATGATGTCTCTCTTCAAGTTTTACCATTAAATGCTTTTTCCAGAATTCCAAACTGTTATAAATTTGAAAACCCCACATCCAAAACTTAGATGGGTGACCAGTGTTCTATTGGAGATTAAGGGCTTGATTTAGTAACACGCTGTGCCAGTACAAACTGGGTTTTGCTGTAAAATTTTATTTTTTTTTAAGTACTGTATTTACAAGGAGAGTGCAGTGATAAGACTGCAAATTACAGATTTTTGTGACTGGCCCAGCTTGATATTGAAATGAACCAGCTGTGCCTGTGTTCAGAAAACAGTTTCAACAACTTTCGTAAATCACCCGTAAAACTAACCACACATACAGCTGACATGAGGTTAACAGTAATCGACGAGGTATGTGGGAGGATGCTCATATATTAAGTGGACTCGGGTTAAACAGCTGTTGAACCAAAACTCTTAGTGCTGCTACTCATCAAAGCTGGACAGTGCAGGTGGAATACTGACAGAGAAGACCACCAAATGCAGGAGATTTCGCCCAGACCACAGTGACAGTGAACACATGCTGTGATTATATAACCAGTGTCCCCGGCAGTTTACCATGCTTACACTGGAGGCCTGCTGCATGTGCTTCACCACTCCAAGTGAGCATGTGGCACAGCAGCTGTAGGGAGGAAGAAAGGCTGACCGCTGACTGTGGTCATCTATCAACTCTAACACAGATTAACCACTCAGTTTGTGTGTACCCGTGTGTGTGAAGATGCTGAATATTCTAATTAAACAGCAAGCACAGACAGTTCTTTGAATAAACGGTGCTACTCTCTGATTGTTTCTCGTGCACTGAGAGTGCCCTCATTCTCATGTTGACCTGTTTACACCTCTGGTTGTGTCCCAGTGGTCCAAGCTGTCAAGACACACAGACATACACAGAAAGGGAGAAAGAGAACGAGAGAGAGGACAAGCCCCTGGGCTGGTTCACAGCTGTGTGCTCTGCTTCACTTGAATGCACTTCGCTGCGTGCGCCATGAAGAGTGATGGACAAAAAGAGGGATAGTGTGTGTGCACGTGTTTGTGCCGCTGTTCAGTATTTTACTCTGTAGTTTATTTTTCCATTTTTGTTAAGAAGAGATGGAAAAATGAGTTAGAAAAGAACAAGAGCAAAGAGAGAGAAGAAATGAGTGATCAAGGGAGAACTGGTCTTTTGTCCACCATCAAAGGGCACAAAAACACACACACACACATCCGATGGGTGGTAGAGGGACAGAGCAGCAGCGTTTGTAATTTCTGCAATGCGCAATTATAAACACCCACGCTACCACACACACACACATGCAGGTGGTGAATATGTTGCATTTATTTGAATACATAATAGATAAACCAGCCTTGGAACTAACACCTGGTCACTTGTGTTTCTCAGATGCTTGTATCTACAAAGGGATGTTAATTGTGTTTGTGTAAAAGTGCGGCAAGTAAAAATGATGTGCGCGATGGTCAGTGTACCAGAATACAAAAGAAAGCTCAATTAATATGTCAAATGTGCCTGGTTTGAAATAATAAGAGGAAAAAGCAGGCTTCAAAGCTGACTGGAGATGAATTGCCAGGGAAGCAGCTGTTGGCCTACTTAGCAGGCCTGTCCTTAACACAGGACCTCTGATCTCACACACATACGCACATGCGCACACAAGCACATTTGCAAACTTTCAATTACACAAGCTACACACATAAATTGAACTTGCACATGCAAAAGCAAGCTCCCAGCTTCTGTTGAACTTTGCCATCACTTTGCTGACCTGCCTGTGTGCCTCACCATTGTATGTGTGTAAAATTACACACTCATGATTTCACTGAATTGTGCCATCCCATCATCCAACAGACCTTCAGTTCAACCCTTAATGAAGTTTCCAGCTAAATGTTCCCAGGCCTTTTCACTTTCCTGACACACTTTTTAATAAAAGAGGTCCCAATATTCTGTGTAATATATAGTAAACCTGTACCGGCAAGGTTTTAATGTGAAAATAGAGGAGGTCTGTCAGCCTGCATCATAAAATGCATAAGGGAGATGCTGTAGATGAACAGCTAAATTCATTCCAGTGTCAAGCATGTTTACATCTGGGAAATCAACTCCACCCATGCAAAACAACAAATCAAATTTTACATGCAAATAACAAAAGCAAATAACCCCCATGAGCTAAATCTAGATGACTGAATCTACATGTTATAATTTGAAGGTAATCAAGTAAGCTATTTAGCCTATAGTTGCTTAGCAACTATCAAAGATTAAGCTAATAGTTCAACAGTTTTAAACTGATGCATCCTCATTTGGTTTCCAAGACTAAGAGGAGGAGATTAATACCACGCACATGTTTGTGTGTTTGAAATATAAGATATGATAACGAAATTGCAAAATTGTCCCATATCGGCACTAAGCACAGCTAAACACAACAAAACACAAAACAGTAAACTTTAAGTCTGTGAAGGTTCTCAATCACTTTAAAGTGGATAAAAAGTGCAAAAAAGGTATGAATAATAAATTAAAGAATGAATGTTTATGACACATGATTGCCCGCCAAAAACTCCAGGGAAGCAGCCAATCAGGTCAGCTGTTAGCATTGATTGGGGTTATTGCCCTGTTCTAAAAGCTGTCCGTGAGTCTGCTTGTCCACGACCTCAGCAACCTGATTCTCCTGCTAGACGGCAGCAGCTTAAACACTCGGTGTCCTGGGTGTGTGCAGTAAGATGCTGCGTGCCCCTTTGAGACAGCGAGTGCTGTACAGGTCCTTCAGGGAGAGCAGAGGATGTCCGAGGATTTTTTTGGCCATATTAATGACCCTGAAGAAGAAGAATCTTCCCCCAGGCTATTCGGGCCCTGAACCAGGTGTAGTACTGAACTCTCCCACACACATCACATCTCCACACGCACTCTGGTTTTTCTTTTTGCATGCGTCTTATAATTTATAATTTCTTTTTATTAATAAAATCTGTAAATTTTTGTAGTGATCTGTAAATCTGTAAATATTACTGTAAATTCTGACCGTCATTTAATGGTTGGGCATTGCACAGCAATAAACATTTCACCTCATGTCATACTGTGTATGGTTGTGTGTGTGTGACAAATACAATTTGAATTTGAATGTAAAGTGCCGGTTTGTGTGCCACGGTGCAGCTGGAGAACCATACAGAGATGCAGTATGTATCAGTATGCAATATGTGCAAAACGTAAACGCTAAAAGCTACACCTCAGTCAAATATGCACTGTTGAATCTGAACTATGGAGTTCAATTATGGTTACTATGGTTATTCTTCTACTTGATGAAGTTGAAGAGTAACCAACATATTTATCATATTTACCACCCACAGATTTAACTTGGGTCAGCCGATATTTAACAAACTATATTTTCTTTCATTCATATAAGAAAAAAAAACACCTTCATTTACAAATGGACAAATCTCTCACTTTTCTGTTGAAAGTTCAGTTGCTGCTGATGAGTAACGCCTGTTTTCCTACCAGTAGGCCGATCAGGTTGCTGTTATGGAAATCCCAAACCATCAACTTTTTTCATTTCAGTTCAATCCAGTTTTATTCACATAGCAATAATTCAAAACAGTATCTGGATTAAGATGCTTCTATTGTAAGGAAAATATCAGTAATAATAACAATGGATTGGATTTATATAGCGCTTTTCAAGGCACCCAAAGCGCTTTACAATGCCACTATTCATTCACTCTCGCATTCACACACTGGTGGAGGCAAGCTACGGTTGTAGCCACAGCCGCCCTGGGGCAGACTGACAGAAGCGAGGCTGTCATATCGCGCCCCTCTGGCCAATACCAGTAAGCGGTAGGGTAAAGTGTCTTGCCCAAGGACACAACAAACAGGACAGAGAGCCCGGGGATCGAACCGGCGACATTCCGGTTACAGATACGCTTCCCAACCCCCTGAGCCACGGTCGCCCCAATAAGTGAGAGAATCCCAGTGATTCAAGTGCTTTTTCATAGTGTTTGCCCTCTGAGAACTTGAGAATTGAGAAGAATTCAGTTTTAACAGGAAGCAATAGCCAGCAGAGCCAGGCTAACAA